TCTGGATGTTGGAAACGAACCTGGGGAGTAAAGGAAACCAAATCGGGGATGCTGGATTGCTTTACAATTACGGGTCATTCCAATTCTCATCCCGTACCTCCGATCGGACTGGGTTTGTTCATTTGGGTTTCCTTGTGGTTTCCCTTGAGACGCAAAAAGGTGTGGGTTTCTCTTAACCAGCAAGTTCCCCTTTGTTCATTGAGTGCATTGCCCCCGCCGCATTGCGGACACATGAAGGGCGTGCATTCCGCATTGTTGCTGAAGGAAGTCATCAAGGGGCACTGGCTCCACCTCGAATGGCAAGCGAGCAGCGTCTCTTTCAGGGGCGTCAAAATCCCGTACCCCCAGTGAACATCCCAATCCCCACTAAAATAGGCTCTAAAATGGGTGGTGAATTCACCCACCCTTCAAAATGGGATCCCAAAACGGTTTTTACAACCGCAGCCATATTCGGCTTGAAAGGCTTCGACACCGGGAACGACGTCTGGCTCGGAGTTCCTTCTCCCCTGCGACTGGCCGCGACTGGCCGGCCTTCTTCGCGGGTTCGGGCCTGGGCGCGGACGCTTCTGGGGCGTCTTCGCCTCTTCAGGTTGAAAGTCTTCCATCTGCGTAACACGCCCCCTGGAAAACGTAGAAAATTCCCAACCTACACTTCCATCTGCGTTTTCGACCCCTGGAACATGTGGAGAAATATGTCCAGTGATGGATTCTCCTTAAAGCCAAGAGAAAAAACCCACATCAGATGGCAAATGGAAGCCTAGAGGCGATCCCCGGTGTACCAGCAATGACCCCCAGGGTACGAGCAATGATCCCCAGGGTGGGGAGGTCGGATCTCTGCCCAAGGCACGAATGAAATCGAAGCCCCCGAAACAAACCCATGGGCCCCAAAAGCTGTGCAGAGCTAGGCAAAACCTGCCGGGTTCATGCGCAAAGTTACAAGGACCCTCAAGCTAGGTCCTCCAGATTTGAGAGCTTAGAATAAGGGTACCAACTTTTTTTCGGTTTTGTCTATTTTAGTAGGGGAACCCTGCCCCCCAAAAAAAGGTGAGAAAGGGTACTACTGGGAGACCTAGTCTCGGACCCTCAAGCCACCCTTAAGAATTGGGTCCCCCCAACAGAGTCTCACTTATACTGGTGGCTCATCCTTGTATGGCAAGTTAATCGAGTTGCATCCACTGTAACTGGTGCCCATGCACGCGACTCTCAGTGAGGGTTTGGGGGGAAGAGGGAGATGGAAGGCCGACCTGGACCCTCAAACTGCCCTCAAACAGAAAGAACATAGCTCATCATTTTGCAGCAAAGTTCGCACATGGACCAGGCCCCGCTGGCATGTGGCGCTCGGAACTCTTCGTCGCCACCCCCTTGATGAACGTGATGAACGAAGATAGTGGCACTGGTAGTTTTTTTTCCCAGTCTTCATGGGGCTTCACCCATCCGATGCTGCCCACAGACTCCCCTTTTTGCCGGAAGAAGGACGCCACAAGGGTGTTGACCATTATCATTGTTTTGGGAGTCCACTTCACTTGCCCCGGACTCTTAAGTAGCACAAATGACCAATGGGACAAATAGAACAAATGATTTAAAAAAAACGAAAGGTCTATGAATCAACTCATTGCACCTACCGCGGCCGGTCTCCTTGATTTGTCTGACTTGCCGACCCATGAGTCATTCTGTCAGGGAGCCACAGGACTGGCCTGGGTGCATCTTTCGTCACCCCGAACGCGGTACGTGACAGGTTTCCTTGGTGAACTGCCGGCGCCGAGTCGGAGGAAGTGTCATACATATATAGGGCACCAATGGACATTTGTGGCAGAATTCGTTCCTAGGTCCTCCAGTACAGAGGTTAGAAAAAGGGTACCCCTTTTTTCTGTAGTCTATTTGAGTAGGGGAACCCTCCCCAAAAAAAACTGTAAAAGGGCACTACTGGGAGACCTAGGTTCATGAAGCAAGTGAAGGGAAGGACTAAGACCGGGGAATCGTAGCATCTACCGTCTCCGGGTTGCTATGTCTCCCATCCGATCGCCTGGGAGCTGCAAAAGCGACATCTTTGACGCCGAGGAGCTGATCTGGCGCAAGGTTGAACCATGGAAGTCGCACATGCCTTGGCCAGACGGATCCGCCAGCCCCAAAATATGTTACTTTGGGTTGAGCTTAGCCAACGCTCGACCCTAAACCTAGGATACAATAAATACTTTCTTGGTTCATCAGTTTCGCCTAGAGCAAAAATGCAAGATATCACCAGCTCTTGACCTAGTCACAAGGGACATGCAGGAAACCCACAAGGGCAAAAACACAAGTGAGCGGTGATCAAAATCAATAGGCCAAATTGCGATGATATCATTTGGCGCTTCCGCGTGCTTCCGCGCGCTTCCGCGCTGCGGGTGTTTGCTTCCGCGCTCTCATTTCCCTTCCGCGCCTTCCGCGGCTTGCGTCTCTTTCTTGCCAAGCCAACACAACTAGATATTGAGCTTGTTTTCCACCACCCGCCGTTTCTTTCGCGAAAAGCGTTGCCAACAGGATCACTGCAGCGCCAATATTGATTCACGCGGGCCTGGCAAATAGTTTTTGCTGTCCTTGAGTGGCTGCAGCTTGACGGGGTTTGAACCTTCGTATCCTGCAAAGTCCGGGTGCTCTACCAAGTCACTACGTCGTTCTGTGAAACAAGGGCGCCTGGCTAGAAGAAGTGCTTTCTGACCACCACCCAAAAAGGGCCCGATCACACCCAGAAAATTTAAACTGTAGCCTGATGGCGTAAACCTTCGTGGGAAGAATCTGCGGGCGCGTGAAAAAGGCCAGCACCACAGTCAAGCGAGCATGGCATGGCAAAGGGCTTGAAAGGCACAACTGCCACAAGGACCAATTGAAAGGCAGCCAACCAACGCCCAAAAAGCCGTGAAGGGTAAGCCCCGCACCAAAGCTTTCCCCTTGTGCTTGGAGCTGCTACCGCAACAGCATGGTAGTGGGTGGAAGACCAAAGGGGGCAAGGCAGAGGGAACTGTAAGAACAAAAGCCAAAGAGGCGTGAAGCGGCAAACTCGACGCTGACGCTATCTTTTCACCCCGGGCTTGTCTGGCTCCCCCGCCATTTCAGCATCCCCTGCTCCCCGAAGCGAGCTCTTTCAGCTCAGGGAGGAGTTCACCCAAGTGACGGACAAGCATCAATCACCAAGCATTTAGGCCCGGGAAGCAAAAACGATTTGTTCGGCCCGAACAAATCGTTTTTAGGCCCGGGAGCAAAAACAATTTGTTCGGCCCGAACAAATCGTTTTTAGGCCCGGGAGCAAAAACGATTTGTTCGGCCCGAACAAATCGTTTTTAGGCCCCGGAGCAAAAACGATTTGTTCGGCCCGAACAAATCGTTTTTAGGCCCGGGAGCAAAAACGATTTGTTCGCCCGAACAAATCGTTTTTAGGCCCGGGAGCAAAAACAATGTGTTCGGCCCGAACAAACCGTTTTTAGGCCCGGGAGCAAAAACAATTTGTTCGGCCCGAACAAATCGTTTTTAGGCCCGGGAGCAAAAACAATTTGTTCGGCCCGAACAAATCGTTTTTAGGCCCGGGAGCAAAAACGATTTGTTCGGCCCGGACAAATCGTTTTTAGGCCCGGGAGCAAAAACGATTTGTTCGCTCGAACAAATCGTTTTTAGGCCCGGGAGCAAAAACAATTTGTTCGGCCCGAACAAACCGTTTTTAGGCCCGGGAGCAAAAACAATTTGTTCGGCCCGAACAAATCGTTTTTAGGCCCGGGGGCAAAAACAATTTGTTCGGCCCGAACAAATCGTTATGGGAGCAAAAACCACTTCGGTTCAACTGAAAAGTAAATGTTGGCCCAGCCGGCCATCTTGGAAGAAGCTTCCGTGGCGACTTGGGAAAACAATTTGACCTGCCCCATGGAAAACAAAGCTGAGAGGCTCGAAACTTGCCGGTGACGGCCAAAACAGCTTAAGTGGCCCGAACCTAGGCCCCGGGAGCAAACACAATTTGTTTGATATTTCTACACCTTTTGACGCTCCAAAAATGTTCCCCTTCCGCGTCCTTCCGCTGCGCAAATTTCGTAGTCAACTTCCGCCGGCCCTTCCGCAAGCTTCCGCGGCCTGCGGAAAACCTTCCGCGCGGATTGATTTCAGCGCTCCCTTACTTAAATTGCTTTGAGCATTTTTGATCGCTGCTCAAGTAGGCAATAGGTCTGGCAATCGCAAGGCGGAACCAAGTAGAAGACATTGGCAGGAGGGTGCATCACCCCTGCGACAGGGTTGGGCCCACATGGATTTGTGTGTCAAACTGGGGGGGGGGGCGGGCGACTTTCCTGGGGTGGGCAGCCACCAAAGAGGCAAAGATCACTCCTAAAGCAAACACGGGAAATTGGGCAATAAAGCACCGGGCGAACAACACATCTAGATAGGGGCGCTGGGTTCTCATTCACTAGGCAAGGGATGCTTGTGAGTAGCCCTTCATTTTCGCGGCTGCCGTCTCGCGAAGCCAGACTGGCCTTGCCTCCAATCAGAGTTTCGAAAACTGAAGGTCCGGGGCTTCTGAGTGAGATTCGGCCATGGCAACTTCTTCACTTTGAAGGGGAAACCTCTTGGAAAAGGAAAATGATGGCCTAACGATGCGAATATTTTCCATATCGATGCTAAGCCTCCGGCATTTAGCCCACAGCTATGCCGATTCATGCCGCGATCGGATTCGCCCTTCGCATCGCCCCCCTTGGGCCGAATCGGGATGCCGGGATGCCGGGATGCCGATTCCGATGCCAGCGCCAGGGAGCAAACACACCAAATTGCTTGGGTTCCAGCATGCTTCAGGCTTTGAAGGTCCAGGCTTGTCTGGTTGAACCAGGTGAAGGTTGAACCAGGTGACCCACATGCCCAACACTTCTGGAAAATTGAAAGATATACCTCGCCAAACCTTGTCAGCCAAGGCCGGCAACACATACTGCGCTTCGAATTTTGGCGAGCTTCTTCCGATTCGACCACAGTTGCCCCACGCTCAGTTCCTTTTTGTCTGGCACCAGCTTGCTCGGACTTCCCCGCCGAGCTGGATCTGGCGTCCAGTTTGCCGGGGCTGCTCTCACGTCAACTGCGCTAGGTGCCATCTCCTGGGACTGGGAAGCAGTGGCGAGGCCCCCGACTGATGAGCCTAACAGAAGTGCAAGCGGCACTAACTTGGTTCACGTTGGAAGGGGAGCAAACAAATACATTGTAGCAGTTAAGTGGGGATTTCCCACTAAAGCCAACAAGCAAAAATGTAGAATGTTTCCCAACAAGAACCATGCTAAGCTGGGTTCTTCCAAACATGGAGGACCCCGAGAACTATGCGTCTTCCGCCTGGCTTTCTCATGCTTTCTCATGGTGGTATTTGAAACCGCCTGCCAACGGGGGCCACCTTTCTCAGGACAACCTGCACGAGGAAACCTACAAATCCTTCTTACATCGCAACAAAAGGGTGTGCTCATCCATTCCCGCTGCAGGACTGCTGCAGGTTTGCGTCCCTACGCAGGAAAAGCGAAGTCTGGCCTTGTCTTATCCAAACCGCGCGAGCCGCGCCGCGCGCAAGGCTTCTGCATCTGCGCTCGGCGGTTTGCTGGAGCTCGCCTCGCAAACAACAGTGCCCGGACTGAGGGAAAGCAAGCAACACGGGCACCATTTAGGTTATTCTATAGGGGTTGTCTTATAAAATTAGGGGCCTAAAAATGCCTGGTTTCCTTTTAGCTTCCCGTTAAACACAGCCAACCGAACGGGGTCCCACCGACCAAACATCCCTGGTCGGGAGCGATTCCTTTGGTAGGCCGTTGGGCGTTTTCTCAAAAGGTGAGCCATTCCATGTCCAATTTAACACGGAGTGATCGAGTGACCCAATTCGATTTCCGGAGCCTTCCAACCATAGCAAGGAAAACACCCTCAGTTCTTCTGGGCTCACACTGCACAAGCTAAGATGGAGCTCAGCAAAATCAGGCGCTACAGTACTTCTTGGGGCCTGCGGATAAACAAACTCATTTCAGCACTGGTTGGGATGGACAATGCCAAATTCGAATACTGGTTGATAAACCGACCCCCCGGTTCGGGCATGGATTTCATGCAGTAAGGGTTTTGGGCTGTGACCCTAGGAGGCCACAATGGACATGGCTCCCAGATCGCCCGGGACCTGAGCCCGCCAGTATCCAAGCATCTTGGCGACACAAAAGCCCAAACAGTGTTTGTCACTTCTTGCAGGTGGGTTGGGAAATCATCACTTACCCAAAACAAAGGATCTTGAGGGTTAAAGCTCCAAGCCGACAGCAAGGCGTATGGAAACATGTCGCCTTTCCATTTCGGCTTTCCACGCCTGGGCTCGCAGGAACCGTGCGAAGTCCTGGAGCTCGGGGTCCAAATTCTCTTGGGACAGCACGGACTGGCAATACCTTGGCCAGCCAACCTCATGGGTAATTACGCGGATGGGTTCCATCCATCTTTGGGCAGGTCGTCCACAAACAAGTCTCTGAAGATCACTAGGCTGGAATTAGGACCCCAGCAAAAATATATATATATTTTTTGCTGGGTAGTGGAAAACAAAGGGAACCCCAAAAAAGCAAAAAGGTAGAAAGGGGAACTAATTCTGGGGAAGATCAATGGGTTCCTTTTGGCAAAACAAAAAAACACAAAGTTGTTTGACCTGTTAAACCCCGCTGCCCCGCCCTCTACCGATGGCTTTTAGTGCTAAAGAACGAGATGGTAATTGGATCTACAGCCCTTACAACAGTTCCAAAACCTGAACATAAAGTATCTCCTTAGGGCCTACATCATAGCTCGTTTTACCCCCAAATCGGGGCGCTCGCCATTTTCAAGCCAAACTGTTGGTCTCTCTTTTTGGGACTCCTTTTGGCCGCCCTTTCAGCCAATCCGAATAGGTACCCTCAAAAAGCACACACACACACACCTAGGTCCTCCAGTAGAGAGGTCAGAATAAGGGTACCCATATTGCTGTAGTCTACTTTAGTAGGGGAACCCTCCCCCAAAAAGGGTAAAAGGGCACGACTGGGGGACCTAGACAACTTTACAACAGTTCCAAAACCTGAACACAAGGTATCTCCCCAGTAGAGGGCCTACATCATAGCTCGTTTTACTCTCACACAACACACACAGTCTCAACAACCCAATGTTGTATTTTGTTCTGGCTTGATTCCCCATTCTTTTCAACCATCGTTCTTTTCTCAAAAAATAATCGCTGTTTCTGTGGGATTTTGATGGTTTCCTACAAAGATTCGGATCCCTGGGTTCAGAATGGTTGGACGGCATCCCTAGAAATTTGCTCTGGCTCTGAGTGACTCAGGGTCATTCTGCATCACGCTCTCAAAGGTCTCCCCTCCGTAGGGACCCACCGGCAGCAGCTGGCTGCTGCTTCCTGGGAGTTGACAAAAGCAAGCTATAGGGTTTGTTCGCTGGAAGTTGGCCAAACCTGGCATTTTGGCACGTAGATGTTCTAGTGGCTTCCATGATTTAAGCGGAGCGGCAGCCTGCATTCATGTTTCCCGTGGCAAACATGGTAAAGCAATAGTGTTGACAGGCACAATCAAAGCCAGCCCCTGGATTTTCTCCGGACATTTGCACAAGACCTGGGTATCGATTTGGCAAACTTCCTGTAGAATTTCCTGGGGCAGCATTCTCTGCCAACGCATAGTGGGCATCTCAGGAACCCGTGGGCGATTCTTAGCAGCTAACATGGCCATGGTCTTGGTTGACGTTGGCAGGGGAGCCAAAATGTAATTTTTAGCAGTTAAGTGGTTGGATTTCAACCACTAAACCACAATAAGCAACAAAAAATGTTTTCCAGCAACAACCATGTGGTGCTTGTCAGGGTGCATGCCTTGTAGGTTGGGATGCTCAATTGGAAGGCATCACCCGACCATGTTCTTTCAGGGGTTCCACTACACCACTAACCCCTATCTATGGGATACGGGGGGTGGGGAAAAGGGGTACACCTGTAAAAGGGGGTTGCACATCCGATTTTCCTCTGGGGAACTACGGATAGCGAGTTTGCATTCCCCTGCAGCGAGCTAACTGCCATATATCCACATTTCAGCACCCAGTCGTACTTGTTCTGGCCTTACTCTAAATTCATGACAACCTTAATGCCTTCAATGACTCTGCAATTTTGCCAGCACTAATGTCAACGGTGTCATTTGCGGAAAGACACCTACATTGCCGCCAGATGGATTTCACCGCGTTGCACCCCCAGAACCATGTGGAGTACCATAAATGCCAACTAATCCCTTGGTGGCGTAGCTAGGTCCAGTATAGAGGTTCGAATAAGGGTACCAACTTTTTTCTGTAGTCTATTTTAGTAGGGGAACCCTCCCCCAAAAAATGGTAAAAGGGCACCTAGCTGGGGGACCTAGTTCAGCTTTTGGCGGGGCAAGAAGCGATCCCTTGCCCCTGCCTGCGCTACTTCCCAGCACTTCCCCCGCGCTCGCCGGCTCCGCACTCGCGCTGGTCGCGCTGGCGCCGGCGCCGGCCTTGGCCGCGGCGCCGCGGCCACGCTTGGAGCTGGGGCGGCCGCCGGAGTTGGAGCTGGTCTGCAGGCCGTGGATGTTGGTGCCCGGCACGGCCCTGAGGCTGGGAGCCGCAAGGCCCAGCAGAGATGCGAGCGACCAGTCACGCGGTCAAAACGGAAAACACAGAGTGTGGGGTTGATTCCGCGTGTGGTAGAAACCGAAAAGAAACAAGACATTGGAAAAGGGCTGGAATCCGGCGAGAAATGGCGAAGATGTGGGTGGAAATTGGGGTTCCCGTGGCCAAAGTGAAAGCAACACAGTCAGAAATTCAAATTGCCGGCTTGATTGGTGGTTTGGTAGTTGCCATTTTTCTTTTTTCCCCTCTACAAAAGCAAGGTAAGACGTCTTTTCAAACCCCCAAGCCACAAACTAATGGTTCCCTGAATGGAAGAGCACCCACCCCTTGCGGAAGAAACCAAATCCTCTTGAAAAATATTTCCCGGCGCACTCCGTGGGCGGCTGACTTGCAGAAAGAACCCAGCACGTGGACATGCAGAAGGCTCTTTAGAAACGGCCTTATGTGTTAGAATGTCCTGAAATTACCCTTTTCCAAGGGACCCTTTGTTCTGAGGGGTTGCTCATTCTGATGTCGCATTTTTTATTTCAGGGGGTTCCTAGGATTTGTTCGGTGATTCCAGTGGTTCCGTAGGCTGACCTGCGGAGCCGACTGGCTAAAAACAGCTTGTCCCTTGGATAAAATGACAAAACATCTGCCCCAGAAGGGTTTCAACGTTGGACACCGAACAGGTGGGTATGATCAAAGCTGCAACTAGAACAGCGTAATCCTGAAGAGGACCTTCGTCAACTCGCATACAATGAGATGAGAGGCATCACAATGAAAAGAACTCAACAGTGTCTTGGCTTGAAATCCCCCCCCCTTACAGTACCGTGTGTACAACTGACCCTGGCATGACCAGGTTCCATGGCAACGTGGAGAGGGCGCGCCATTGCAGCCAAACATCGCCCAGTGAGTGTTAGGGCCATTGACGGCAGGCCATGAACTTTCTATGGCTCTTCTTGTTGGGCTTCTGCCGGCGCAACGTCAGGCTCCATGTTAGTGGAGAGTACTTAAAAACATCGTGAGCCAAAACGGCTTCACACACTGTGGATGGATGAAATCCCGCAAAACCTAAGAAACCCTGGAATCTGAGCCCCCTGCAAATACCGACAAAGAATGGCTTCAACCATGGTTTCCTTTCGTGGTGCGAAATGGATTTTGCAACCATCCACAGCTACTTTTAGGGGACCTAAGACAGGCACATTGACTGACCCTCACACCTTCAGGTAGCTTTGCACTCCCAAAGTCCTCCATTTTTTGGAGTTCATATTCATCCACTTCATTCAGCAATTTATGGGGGGGTTCAAAAGTGGTGCAGGATTTCTTTGTTGTTGACCCGCCTGCAAACAGCTTTTAACTTTTGGGGGGGTTAGCGGAAAAAAAAAACCTTGATCTTCCCCCAAAAACGTATAAAGTCTAAAGATCCAACCCACTAGCAATCAAGACTTCGCAGCCATCCACAGCCACGCCATGCGCCAAGTCTCTGCACCACCTCCGCCGGTGCCTGTCCGCGCCCCCGCGCCACCTGAGACCCGCGGCCCCGGCCGCGGCCGCGCGAGGCCATGGCGAGCGGCAACGCCAGGCGGGGGGAACAAATGGCGTCCACAGAAACGTGTACGTATATTTATATATATATTTATATATATACAGGACCTATGATCTATACTCATGTGTATCTTGCGTTGTGTGTGTGTGTGTTTAGATGTTTAGATGTGTGTGTGTGTGTGCGCGTGGTTGTGCATATTTAAGTAGGAGTGAGTGCTATTGTGTATGTATCGTATATGGGTCTGTCATGGTTGGTTGTAGGTGTGTGTGGCGTATGTAAATGGACCCGCACGTGCTTCACCCGCCAGGCGCTTCTTGGAGGGCCGGCGCGCCTCCGCACATCTCCGCACCTCCGCTCTCTGAAGCGGTGAGAGCACAAGATTTGCTTATGGGGCCCCACCAATAAGTGGAAAACCACCAGAAAAAGAAGGGACACCCACCAAAACCTCCATTCGCTTCAGTCCGCTGGAAAAAAAGGATGAAAAAATCCAGTAGTGAAATAGATTCCCTTTAAGACCACAGGGGAACATAAACGATATTTAACCAAATGGAAGAGTAGGTGGAGTTTGGGAGGTCCAGTCTCCGAACGCATCCAGGAACTGGAAAAAGGCCCTTGGAGGAAGTTGATCTTCCAATCCAGTGGGAAGGGCACGCCGCAAGCAAACTCACTTTGACACGGGAAAGAAAACCAGTACAAGCAGCACGAATCCCCGCATTCACCCTTTAAACTTTAAGGGCTTTCAATAAACAATATGCAACTCAAGACTTTCTCAAGCAAGGTTCCATGTCGTAATCAGAAACAGTTCCCAGTGTAATGATATCTAGGGGGGTTCTTTGACCAGTGTCCTCCTCCTCCTACGGTGGATGCCCTATCGTGGGGAAACAAGGGACACCCTGTACTATACCACAACTTACCATGGTTTTGCGTTTGGACGTGGTTGGATCATTTGCAATACCTTAGTGCCTCTCCCTGGGCCAACTGAGCTGCAAACATCCGCGGCATTTTGCTCGCATGCAAAATCTGTCGCGAGGCCAAATGGTGCCGCGCGAGGCTCGCGCCTCCTATTGCTTTCTGTTTGCAAGGCACCTGCCAGGGTTGGGCGATACCCGTACCAACTGGGGGCGGCTCAAAAATCGGAGGCCAAAATGAAAAGTCGCTTACCATTTCAGGTCAAAACCGGTTGGGCCTGGTTGATTCAACGAACTTAACTGACCCTAGCGTCCAAGAGCACCTACCAAGCCACTACAGTTTCCAAGGTTCCCTGCAGTGTGTGCATAGTGGTATCCCTTGGGGGTTCTTTGGGGCGTGGAAACACTTTTCCTGGGTCCTCCAGTAGAGAGTTAGAATAAGGGTACCCTTTTTTCTGTAGTCTATTTTAGAGACCTAGGTATTTCAGAAGAATCTGGGGATGTGTCAAACTAGGGACTTGGACACCCAAAATCGTGGTGCTTTTGCTTTCCAGTCAACAAAGTCCCAAAATCATACCCTCAACGAAACACACCCTGCCTACTGGCTTTCTGCGGAAGCTGTAGCTGTGGCATCTGGGCTGGAAGCGCTGGCCGCAGCCAGCGCTAAGGGATGCAGCGCAATGTCCCACAAGGCGACCACCGCACAAAGACCCGCCGCCTCAAAGCTTGGCACAGCTTGGTCTTGGGGGAAGCCAATCATTTTGTTTGGCGCCCCCTCATTTGGAGACAAGCACGTCCTGAAAAATGGTTGGGCCTTCTTTCTTAGACTCTTCTTTTTGTGTTTTGATCTTGGCTTTCTTCTTAAGCAAGGTATTTATATTCTTCCGTTGCCGGGTACCACCGGCACTGCCCACGCCGTGCCGTGGAGACTCTGAGACCACAACAAGTCCGGCTATGTTCTGTTGTCTTTGTCTAGGTCCTCCAGAGAGGTCAGAATCAGGGTACCCTCTTTTTTCTGTAGTCTATTTTGGAACCCTCCCAACCAAAAAAGAAACGGGTGAGAGGTCGGACACCCTGTCGCTGGGGGACCTAGTTGTTGATGTTTTTTTGGAGGGGGGCGGGGCAGGGATAAACCGCCCCTTGGGTTTGCTGGGGCTCCGGCGCCCCAGGACATGGCCCGCAGGGCCTGGCGCAGGGGCTGGAACCAAACCCTTGGAAGCCAACGTGTTGTCAGGGGATTTCGCTGTTTTCCGTAGTTGCTGTGTCTTCCCCGATGTTTTTTAAGGTTCCCCGAGTTGCTTTGTGGTTTTCCCAATGTCTTTCGTGGTTTCCCCGAGTTGTTTTTTTTGGTTTTCCCTATGTTTTTCGTGGTTTTCGCACTGGTTTCGTGGTTTTTCCTATGTTTTCACGATGTTTGCGTGGTTCTCCCGATGTTTGTGTGGTTTTCCCATCCAACAAGGGTTTGGTGCTTGGTGTCCCTCTTTGTTTTGTGGGGCCATGGTCCATGGAGAAAGCCTCTCTTGGTGTTTTGTTTTGGGGGCCATGTTGAACCCTTTTTGCTGAGACCCGTTTCACTCGAGCTTTTGTCTCCCTTTGAAAGGTACTTGGAGGCCTCCGATTTCCTCATTTGCTCGTTGACTTGTGGACCAACCTACCCTGCTCATTAGCTTGCCGCGGAATGTCAGTTGAAAGGGGGCATGGTCCATTTGTTTAAGACAATCAAGCTTGGTGAAACAAATATGGTTTCCTTTCAACCAGGAACTGGTTTGTTGGCGTCCAGTTGTTCAAACCCATTGTTTTAAAGCCGCGTTTCGGCGTCCACTTGTTCAAGCCAATCTTCTTGCAACCGCATGTTGCCGTCCACTACAGTTGAGTGGTTTGCATTAGTCACCATTGTTTTTCTTGTTTACATGCGTAAACTTTGTTTTGGCATCCATTTCTTAAAAATCGTGATTTGTCCATTTGTCAAAGCCATGTGTTCAAAACCCGTGCCTTGGTATTTATAATTGTTAAAGCCGTGTTTTGAAAGTTTGGCGTCCTTCATTTGCTAGAACTAGGTAAAAAAGAAAAAACACACGTGTTTGTTTCGTGCCCGTGGGTGTCAACCGATTTCGCCCGTTTTTAAATCGCCCCAAACGCCCCCACCTGGCGATGAAAGTTGGGCACTCGCTTGTAGGAGTCGCTGCGGATCACAAAGATGGGCTCCAGCCAGTCCAGATAAATGTCCCGCACGGGACTGTATTGAGCCTGAACGACCAGCCCCTCCGTCCGCACAGCACAAGCCACTAGCATCTGCAATTAAACGGCTGGGTCTGTCTCCAAACACGACCCGCAGTGGATTCCAAATGTGCCTTTTGAGGGCTCGGAGCCCCGGAAAACCAGGCCAAAAACAAGAGCCTGGGCCAAGCATACGCAGGGCAACCCTGAAGCGACTGGGTCTGCCTTTCAACCCTTGAAACATCGAGGGCCTCAACGGGGTTACAAGGGCCCTGAACTTCCTACACAGAAAGGTCAACAAACAAGCCCCGGCAAAAACCAAACAACACCACCTGGCCAACCACGAGCCATTGCAACGGTTCCGAAGCTTGCGACCAAAATCGGTCCAAGGGAAACAAACAACATGGATTTCCCAGAATTAGTTCCTTTGTTGTTTGTGCTTTTTTGGGGCCCCCTTTGTTTTCCACTAACCAGGCAAACATATGTTTTTTTGCTGGGGTCCTAGTTCCAGCCAAGTGAAAGGGAACTCGTTCAAAGTGTTGCAAACTCAGGGCTTGCATCTTTAGGCGTCAACCCCCCACCCCTTGGAGGACGCTTTTCCACCGCACTGTCCATGTATCGAGGTTGGCTGTTCCAGGAAACATCAATCATCACCCCAAAACAAGGTCATCGAACTTATGTCCCGAGAGGCCGGAAACACAAGGAAGCTCCTGGTTCAGAGTCCAAGGTCCAAGGCTTTCAGAGGCTCTGCGCGCTTCCAGGGTAAACTGGACTCTCTCGTCGCCAGGCGGCGGCAACGGCGCAAGCGATGACTGCCACTACACCGATCCGGAGGTACCACGTGTTGAGCTGCGGGTAGGACATGACGATGGCTAAGGAAGTCGTTGCATCAAGGCCCAAGCATACCTCGGTTTCAGAATGCGTGTGTGTTTTGTTGAGGGTACCCTTTTGACCGTTGACGCGGTACAAATTAATATCTTGTTGTCTCAATGTCTGGCAGAATTGGCATAATTGTGTTGTTGCCGTGCAATCAACACAGGCGTCACGTCAAGGCTTGTCCAACTGTCCCTCAACAAACACGTATGTGTCAAATGTGGACCTCACCCTCATTTTGAGCATTGTGCTAGGCGTCTATGGAAGCGACGGCGGTCTCAAGCCTCCGGTTAACTTGGAGACACAGCTGTCGATCAATGATTATACGCAAGAGCCGGCAACGAACAATAGCATCCCTGGCCACGTTCCTCCCAAACTTGTGGCCGAGCATGTTCCGCGCCTAAAAGCATTTCGGACCTTTGCGAACCACTGGTGCGAATGTTTGCAAAAACACATGATCAAACATCAACCCAAAAGCCAGGTGAAGCTTGCCAAGCCGTCATTCTGGCAACCCTTTTTGCGAACCCAGGTTCGGAGAACGTTCTCGAATGCATGTTCACTGTACTCATACGTCCGGATCGGTGCGTGTCAAGCGTGCCGAAGCCCCGAAGAATCACACAGACCGGAACGGCGAGGGAACCACTTCTTTGTAGCGTCAAGTCCGGCAATAGCGGGCGTTTGGCAGATCTGGGCGCAAACTGGCAAGTGGGATTGGACATCGCCAATTCATGGGCGATGTCCTAGCACAGCCGGGCTTTGTTCGTTGAGGCCCTTTTCCAAAAGCGAAACGGAAGCAATGCACTGGGCAACTCTCGTAAAACCGCAAACCCTAAACTCAAGATGTGATCCCGTTAAAGGAAACCATAGGGGGTGGCCTATAGGGGTCATTCCATTTCTCATTTCCTGCTGGGATTCAGCAAGCTAAACCATCCAAACCCTAGAACTGAGCAAAGCTCCAAGCCCCCATCCTTGTCCACCCTAAACCCTTTCTCTCAACAATTGTGAGACTCACCCCCCCAACCTTCCAAGCCCTCCTTGCAACCCGACCTAAACTCAAGCCAAACTTCAAATTGCCAATCTGCCAGGTGCAGACCTTGGTTGCACAATAAGCCTTGCAGAGCTTCTTTTTAAACTGGGCTCTGTCGAAATGTGAGACCCACCCCCAAGCCAGCCCCAAGCCATCTATATAACCCGACCTGAACTCAAGAAATGTGAAACGCCCCAAGCCATCTCCCAGCCATCCCCAAGCCATCCCCAAGCCATCCCCAAGCCATCCATCTATAACCCGAGGCACAACTCACAAAATGTGAAACCCAAGCCCGGCCTAAACTGAGAAACGTGAACCCCCCCAGCCCCAAGCCATCCCCAAACTCAAGACACGTGAGACCCACCCCCCCTGCCGCCAGCCCCAAGCCATCTACCTAGCCCGAGGCACAAAGGACTCCGCCTTCTCTGGCGGCAGTGCCACATTGCTCATCTTCGCGGGCGACCGCCCCGACGCCACCACCGCGGCCACGAAGGCCATGGAGGCCGCGGTGTAGACGATGTTCTGCCACCAGTAGGCGTGGCCCGGGGCCTAATTGGAGCGAGCCAGCGCCCCCCCCCCCCCCCCCAAAAAAAAAGGGAGAGAGAAACGAGAAAGAAAGAACACGAGCTTACAGTTCTTC